AAGTCACGGTTTTGACAGAACTCGGTCACATCTCGATGAAGCAACGGCCACCAGAAACGCTGACGGATGGAGTGTTTAGTTTTGTGTCGACTAGCGTGCCCCAGTTGGTGGTTTACTTGACTGATGAGCTCCTGAACTTTGACGTTTGGAACTAGGAGTCGGGTTGGGATTGGGAATTAGAATCTATTAGATGAACTAGGCCCCATTTACCGCAGATACACCGCGTAACTGCTGGCAGATCTCGTAATTCCTCGTACGTCGGTTTATTGGTGCCGTGCTGTTGTCGTATATAGACAGGTTGTATATCTGCGTCCACCGCTTGCAGGGAGGCCCAGTCAATATCACCTGCAGTACCGAGTAATACATTCACTTTGGTTTCACAACTAAACAGGCGGGAGAGAGCATCGGCGTTAGCAGGTCGTTTTCCGGGACGGTATTTGCAAGTGAAATCAGACGCCTGTAGACGTTCTTTGGCCAGTGGTCCCTAGTGTGTACCTGGAAGTACTGATAGTTAGCGAAAGAATATTCTCAACACTGTGGAAGCCTTTGCCTACCTCGAGAGCTTCTGAGGTGGTGTAGTAGTTGGCACTTGAGCTGGTAAGATGGGAGGCCTTGTGCGAAGCGGGTACAAATGACCTCATCGCGGTTCTCATTAGGAAGGGTAGGAAAGGCGTAGGACGCGATCTCACGAAGCAGATATTTTGAGATGAGGCTTGCTAAACAATTAATTGAATCAACTAAAAAAGGAACTGAGAACAGTATAAGCAAAACGTTACATTATATATATACATATATTAAACAAGCATGACTGACCGTTTCTGCTAATGCGTTGAGTGAACAGAGCTGTTTACGTATGTAAGTCAAGAGGGAAAGAAATAACATCACGAATTTTCAGCATGTGGCAAACTGTTTCAAGACTGTTTTCGGAGGAATATTTATTTTGTGGATTTGTGAATCGTTGTGTTGTGGTGCTGGTTTTGATTTCACCTGGTAAGAAGTTCCATATTCGCTTACATTTAACTCTTAAGAAGTTGGGGTGAGACTTCGTTCGACAAAGAATATTAATTAGAGGAGACCCGCGCTGCGTAGTTCATACGTCGAAGAAGTAAAGTAAAAGTTATTGTTGGGAAAGTATACTATTCCTTTGAGAATTTTAAATAGAAGAATGAGGTTAAGTCGTTTGCTCCTGAACCAAAGGGGTTCGATCTTAAGAGTTGTGCAACGATGGTTAAAGGGAACTTCCGGACTTGTTCTTAAGATTCTACTTGTAAATCTCATCTAAATACTTTCAATCTTCGGTTTGTCCTTAACAGAAGTGCTGTCTAGGATAAATGGACAGTACTCAAGGAGGGGCCGTATGTGCGTTTTATAAAGCAGCATTTTACATTCTTGTGTTTGAAAGTTATGAAATATAAATCCAAGTAATCTTCTGGCTTTAGAAACTTGGTTGGTGACATAGAGAGAGAATTTAAAATCATCAGAGTAACGGATCCCATGGTCAAGTACGGAAGCAAAAATAGTGATTGGCTTGTCGTATATAGTTATGTTTGGCGTGATACGTAAGCTGGGCATAACAGTCCACACTTCTCCACGTTGATCTGCATCATCCACAACTTACACCATGTCTCAATATTATCAATATCCGATTGGATTTTATGAGACAGATTTGTCACTTCTTGGGTGGTACTGTGGTAGACCACCTTCAACTCATCGGCACATAAGAAGGGTCTGTCATGCTTTATAACATCACAAACGTCATTTAGATATATAAGAAAGAAGAGAGGCCCTACTACACTACCCTGAATTACGCCACTTGATATAGGAGTGGTCCTAGAAAAAGTATCGTTAGAATTAAGAGACTGGGACCGACCACATATAAATGAATTACACCACTGTAAGAGACTGCCAGATATACCATAAGCCTTAAGTTTTTTCAGCAGTAAACGATGACATACTTTATCGAATGCCTTCTTAAGATTAATATACATAATGAGCACAACGAACATCTTGTCTGTAAGTCCAGTTATAAAATCAAATAGTCCCAAGTGGTAAGTCATACATGACCTGGACTTCACACAACCATGCTGAGAAGGTGTTATGAGGGTTTTCAGTCAATAAGAAGTCAGTGTTTTTGGTAATGATTGTCTTCTTAAGTATCCTTGACAAGACAGACGTTATATTGATCTACCTGTAATTCTTAACATCATATTTTGAACCGGAATTAAATCTAGGGATAATATGTGTTTGTTTCCATTTGGAAGGTTAAACTGTGTTCATAAGGGACGTTGAGAATATTTTAAGCAAAAGGAGAGAGATCGGAGACACCATTTTATAGGAAGGAAGAGGGTATTGAGTCGGGCCCAGGAGTATTGGAGAATTTCAGTAAACTCAGCGCACTTTTTATAACATAAAAAGTCAAGCATATATTTGACAGTGTTTTGCCTGTTACACAGTCCGAGTTGATGCATGCAGCAATATTGTACATGTATGAGTCAGAAAAGTGCTTGTTAAACAGCTCAGCTATGTCTGCAACAGTAACATTATTATGAAGACTGTAAGGAATGCTACCTTGTTTTCGCTGCAGTCATTTTTAGGGAGAGTTTGCAAAGAGAGCCAATTTTGCAGTTACTTTTGAAGGCAATTAGTTCTTCTCGGTAAATTTCACTGGCATTGTCTGGTCTGATTTTATCGTATACCTAATGCTAATGAGCGAGAAGAAGTCCATAGATTTATTATAAGTTTTACGGAGTCTTCTTAGCTTGTTCCTGGTAGCATTCGGTATAAATAGTTGAGTTATACAGTTGCGTTTGGATTAATACCAAGGTATAGCAAACTGATATGTTGAAGTAGAAGCTGGCAAGAACAGTATCAGTGTCTGCCGAGGAGGAAAAGGTGTCCCAGTCTCGGTAACAAATAAAGGACAGCGTTGTTTCCCACTTGGCCTTTGAAAAGTCTCTGACTTTTACTGTCCAGTGACGGCCTTTGCCTGACCCACTTGCTGCTAGATTAAAGGTAGAAATGACCGTGTTGTGGTCGCTACCAGGGAATAAAGGACCCAATCGGTTGCTGACGGGGAGAATGTTGTGTGTGATGTTAAGATCCAGGATGTTGGATTTACGAGAAGGTTGATTAACATTTTGTGTCCGTCCATAGAATTCAACCATATTTATAAAACGATCAGGGTATGTAGGAACACTTAGGCTATTTAAGTGGATACCAAGCATGTTAAAGTCGCAAGCTATAACTTTCTGGTCAAAATTTAGAGAGGAGACGCGTTCCAAAATTTCACATAAATGGTTCGTTGTGTTAGTGTCAGAATTGGGCGGGTAGTATATACATCCCAATAAAAGTCTTATATTTAAGTGAATGTTGAGTGCAACCCATACTGCATCTGTCACTAAGCAACCAAGCTTATCAGCTTCTACAGGGTTTAATTTGTTACTAACAAAAGTAAGACAACCATCACCGCATCCTTCTTTTCTGCCATGTCCAAAGTGTGTGTATTCTGCAGATTTTAACAGCCTGTCATTGAAGTCGGATGGTTACCAAGTCTCGGTAACTAACAGTACTGAGGGCATACAAAGTGAAAGTAAGGAGTGAAGGTACGCAATTTTATTGCAGATAGAACCAGCGTTTTTAAAGAAAAGAGTAAATGATCTCTGATCAGTGGTAATGGCTGAGGCAAAGTGAAGTAGACGATGGTGTGATTCACCTAGGATTAAATGAAAATTAGATGACAGACTGACCACTACATCGAGTGCGCGGTGCGTCTTTCGTTAAAGTTCTGCGAAAAAGAAGAGGGTGTCCATGGCTGATCGCTCAGTTCACGATTGCATAAAGATAGATATACGGCAACTGAGGTATCCTGGGTGTCTTCTTAAGGATCCTTTAGATGCGAGCATTTTTTTTACGAACCATGAAGGTTTGAATCATTTGCTTACTTCCATGTAGGCCAACTAAGAAGCGGAAGCTTTATTTCTTTTTTGCCGGATGAAGATTATCATTACTGTCTTTTCTTTATAGGGCATTTAAACTATCTGCAAATCATCCAGGTGTATTTCATCACTACATATCGTTACAACAGTAAGTGGAATTCCTTACCGGCAGATGTAGCTATGGCACCGACTGTGGACGCCTTTAAGCGAAGGATGGACAACCATGCAGCGACACAAGGGCTGCATCCAAATGGCCTATCCCCTTAAAATCGCATACACCATTCAAAGGTAGACAATTAAACTGGTCGTTTTACTTCTTTACATTCTCTTCCGTCTTACTCTCCTGACAGCTTTAACTACACCTATTATTATCATTATTACCGGTATATATATATATTGGGTTGACTGACTTTTGTTACGTTTTCTTATTCTTTTTCTGTCTGTTAGTCTGAATAACTTCACTAATTATTTCTATTATTTTTATCTTTTTTCTATTGACGACTATACCGAAGGACCAACTGGTGAAAGGATCAACTTCATTCACAGTAGTAACAGTCTTAACACACCTCATTCTACAAACCACATACAATTAATCCCTGCACTACTCCTTTTGGAGTCAACCAAAGCTACGACAGTCGAGTGGCGGGACGAGCTACGCAGACGTTTACCGAAGATCAGGAACCTCTACCTCACAATCAAGAGGCGAGCACAAAGAAATCAAATTAGTTTATACTAGCTCGTAAAAACGATATTGGATATTGGAACCCTTCGTATTTCTATAGTCAAAACAGACAAGCTGAAATGATCTGACACCGTGGTGATCGTCTTATGATTATTTAATTTCTCATATGTCGTTTTCAGCGTCGCCACACTAACCATTAAGATGTAGTAAAGGGTTTTAGTTTCTTCACATGTCTTTTGCACTTAAACAGGATTTTCTGAGCCTTATGCACTTCTTTAATTGTTTATACCCAAATTACCTGGCTTATTGAACCCATGAGTTATTGAAAACCCTTAATTGTTTGTATGCTCTAAATTGCACTAGCTGTTGTCAATGTAACTAAGATGTCGAATGAGGAAAGACGAAAAGGCTATTACGACGAATTATTCAAAAATACTTTTGCTGATCAAAATGAATCAGCTGGGAGCGATTCTGATGATAATAATGAAGGTGCTGTGGGAAATGTTAGTAAATCTTCAGTGATCCGCCCCGGATGCTCCGGAAAATTACGGAAAGGACAATTAATATTTGACGCTTGTTTTGAAAGTGGTAAGTTACCAGTCCTCGCTCTTTATAGTTACAAGGAAATCTGGGAAAAGTTGCGTATGTTAGCGACTATGAATATGATCTTTTTATTCGTCCCGACACATGTAATACACGATTCAGAGTGTGGTTCAATTTTACTGTTGAAAACACCAAATATCAGCAGGTAATAATGCATAGTACATAGTTATTCCCAGAGGGTGATTTTCAATGTTGTTAATTTTAGCAAGACGAAATCGCTTTATCGGGAAGGTATGTCTCCGTTAGTCAAGTCATCCAGCCGTCCATCCTGGTAAGTTCATTCAATTGAATCTGTAAATAGATTCATGCGTATATCAGGTCACGTATCCCACAGAAGTGTGTATTCTACTATCGGTGCCCTGAACACAAGAAAAAATATGTAATGTCATTTGCATTTTCCTTCGATTGTGAAGAAGATGTATATCAATTCGCCTATTGCTATCCATACACTTATAGCAGACTGCAAACATATTTAGGCGTAATAGAAAATAAAAACTATGCACATTTCAGAAGAGAACTTTTGGGATTAACAATAGTGGGTACACGTTTTTGAAGAGCTTATGTGTACTGACAGAGCGGTATCCCAAATTAATTTTTGACATTATGACATTTTATTACGAAATTTAAATATAGGTCCCCATATAATATACATACAACTTAGACATCATGTGGCAGGTCTCATTCGTTCCATCGTTTTCTCGTGTATAACCTCGGGCTTCGTAGGATATAGATTACTTTCAACTTTATTAAGAGATATTAAGTTTTAAAACCCAAATTTGTAAATGAAGTTATGTACCGACTTCCGATTCAGCGATGGGGAGTGAAATGGTCGCATATGTTGACTTATTCATTTACTCCAGAAGATTGTTAACCCACAGCTGATTACTTACTAACAAAATCTCAGCGGTTTTACTAAATGCTTCTTGTCATCTTTGAAGAATAAATGTTATCCAGTCGCTAACACAATGGTGTATGTACTGTACTACTTTATGGGTGGGAAGGGTGGCTGAAAGTAAACGGCATGAAAAGATTATAGGTTTTCGGCTGTAAGTTCCTTTAGTGGACATTTAGCTTCAACTGGAGCAGACGCTGAGCACTGATGAGGTTAAGCTTGGAGTTTTAGGTAAGCAGGGGGATGTCAGCTAATGAAGTTGTAAAGCTATATCAGTGTTACATATGATAGACCATCACCCCTTCAGTAGCTGATGTTTACTAATATACAGCTGATTTGGGAAAGAGGTAAGGATTGTCGGACCAGGACTTAGCAATAACTCCTGGAAGGCTAGTCTGAGTCATGTAGGGTGGAAATGTCTAGCTGGTATCCAGCTAGAAATGTGGGAAGGTTAGGAAATATTGGTGATATAGCCTAAAATCAATCACACAGGAAAATACATGTTCATTTTGCATCGTCTTCCAGATACTGAAAATGAATAGCACAGTACTTTAGTAAGTATAGTGGAGACCATCCGCGAACAACTTTGGAATCAAAGTATAATATCCAGTTGCTTTGCTTAACTAGAGGACTGATATCTGTGTCTTACTCAAAGGGAATTTAAGTGGTACTCGACTTAATGGCAGCTCCAAGTTATTTGTATTGCTACTGTAAGACCTTCTTTTAACGTTCTAGTTGTTTCTCTCGAGAATGTATTCAAGTTCCATCCTTATTGGAGACAGTTTCATCACGAATAACTCTTCAGAAGTTATCCTTAATAAGTCAAAACGATTGACAGATATTTGTTAACATTGATGTCCGTTTTATTTTTATCTACTTCACCAGTCATTGTTGTTTGCTCATGCTTTTACTCATGTGCGAATCCACCCGACATGATGCTCGTTTAATCAGTGGAGGAAGTCACTGGCTTTCAAAAGTCTATTCTATTAGGGGGCCAAACTTCTTCTAAGTTGTTAGCATCAAAGGACATCAGCTCAAATCATCACATTCATATAGCACGTGATGGTAACAAAAAATGAGCATTCAGAAGAGCTACTATAAACGAAAGTGTATGGAGAGAAAAGTAAGGATTTAAACTGTCTTGAAGATCACAAAGAGCGGATGCATCTGCGCCATTAAGAAAGATTTTGAGCTATATCACTAACATCTTAAGTTGTTTCTTAGCGCCTCTAGGACTTCTGTCAGGTCATGTGCTCTTCCAGCGTGGCTCAAACTAACAGTCAAACACTTCATGAATTAATGCTAGGTTTTGGTTAAACCTCCTCTAGCTGTTTTACAACTAAATCCTATGTTGGCTAATACTACTCGAAGAGGGAGGCAATAGTGAGGCATACCTAACAATCTCCAATCTATTTTAACTGATGCAACTTACACTTTCATCGATCGACATGCCCACCTTGTCTAATACTCTATTCACCATTCTATACCACTTATAACTAGACTGAAGGTGGTTTTTCATTTTTCTCATTGGATTCTGTTGCTTTTGCTACTTTTTTATTTTTAAATGCAGTAATTGACGTTTTAGCACATAATGAGTGTATAACATAAAAGTCAGTCAATCATCCCCAAGCTTTAACTTGTTAAGAAAAGGAAGGTAATTTTCGGCATATACCTGAGTGACTTAAAATTGGACATTCGAAACCAGTTATACAATCTAGCAGTAATAATCACATGAGAATCAATCTATAGGCCATGCGAAATTTAGTAACTAGCTTGGATAGTGTAGCAGCTAAAAGAGTAGAGTGTAGTTCAACAATGCGAATATGGAACTGTAAGGTGGAAGAGGAAAGTGTAATACGGGGAATAAATGTAATATTGTGGTTATAGAGTTTAAAAAAGAACTTTTAAGAGTTAGATCTAAGATGTTTTAGTAGCCTTGTCCACTGCAAATCCATTGAGTGAACAAAGCTCCTTTGTACTCAGAGTTTAAGCTACAAAATCTGAATCATGTTACCTCCAGTTTGAAAGAGATTCATGAAGTTTCCCCATGTTTTGTAGAAAGCTTTGAAAGTAATTTATGAGTCATTCTGGTAGCTAGAATCGATTCGGTGTCCTAAGACAAAGATTTAAGAAGATTTTCTTTATCCACTATAAAACTAGGATGGCATGTGTTTGATTGCAATCTCTTGCCGCACGGGAACAGATGAACTGATTGATACACACTGATTAGCCAACTGGTGATGTTTCCTTTGTGTGTAACCGTATCATAGTTTATGTGGAGAATCATAGTTTAGATGTATAAAAGGTTTTTCTCTTTGCGCAAGATAAGAAACTTCCTGGTGTTTCCAGTTAATTTTAAATTTTGGGACGGCATTTTCTGAATAGGGTTCATCATTTTTATGATGGATCGCTCAATATAGTTGTTCTCCATCAGCAAAATAGAATGCAGAATTACCTTCATTTGGTGATATTTCATCAGAGAACTTTCAAAGTCATAGATTTTATGTTGTGATATCTGAAGCCTAAATGGAGTTTATTGAAGTTAACCACTATATTCTTCTTCTTGGTATATAGGTAAGATTGTGGACCTTCCAAACCATCTACCAATGAATTTCAAGTATTTGAAAAGAGTTGTACATCGACTGAAATGTCAACAGCTACAGAGCAAAAAGACAATGAAGCTATTTAGTAATATACAGAAAGTAACCGCAGAAGAACTAGCAGTAGGAAGATTACAGAAGTAATGATAAACTTAAAAAGTACAGTAGATTTGGTAGGCGTCAGTTGAAATGATTTCGATAACTTATGGGAGAAATATATAGACTCATCATCATCTTACCCTAAATCCGCTGAAGTTGTAGTACTCTACAAACGAGTAAGATTTTATTTTGCTCAGAATGAGATGTTTTGAAACTAAATTAGTGTTTGTAATCTGCTTTTATCGCCTTTAAGTTTCTGAACCAAATTATGTTAAGTTACATGTTATTGTTTCTGAAAATCCCAATAAGAAAACTAGCTTGATCTGACGTATTGGAGTCTCATTCTTACTATTATTGATGACGTCATGTGGTAGCTGAGGGTTAAGAGTATGTACTTCGAACCACTAATTGATTCCTTGTTCTCATTTGAAGTCCAATAAATGATGCTTGCCATTTTTTGCTGACCGGTATTTCAGGATTAGTGGCATCTAATAAGGTTCGCCCATTGTTTCATTTCTCTTCAGAGGCCATTTGTCACAACCGTATGCATCACTAGCAACCTATAAACTATTACATAAGGGTTCCAACAAGACTGAAACTGAAAATGCCACTTGAACTTTGTATATCCATGTTGAAATAGTACAGTAAACATTCGTTTTCCTAAAATTATTGATTGTGAGATATTTTGAGCATAATAATTGTTCACAGAAATAATGGCACACTATGCATACTATCACTTAATATTCAAGAAACTGTTAATAAACTAATGTATAATTTGTCTTTATTTTAAAAGCAACAAAGACGTCTAGATCTTCTAACAATTACTCATCCCAGTAATTTCAACGCAACAAACAACAACAGAAAGCGTATAATATTTGTAACCGCTCGTGTACATCCTGGGGAAACGCCGTCATCTTATGTTTGTCAGGGTAGGTAGATACATCTTTTTATCAGACACTGATTAACTGCTGCTAAGAAACACAACAAAACTTCAGCATTTTCTTCATTATGTTTTCAGTGTTGTTTATCATACATTGATCACTCATTCTAGATGTTTTTTCTCGGCAAACAGAATAATTCATCAAAGCTCTGATCCTTTTGTTATTGGTATTTTGGCGTAATTGGTCTTATGTCAGTGCACTGATTGTAAAGTAGACTGAATTCCCACTTCGAGAATGCTGTTGTCTCATAATATTTCACACAGTGAAAATTCACCATCGACTTTTGTTCACCTCCTGAAGAGTCGAAATGATATTTTCTAAAGCTTTATCGATAATAGCGTTTTACTAACAAATATTAATTATGGTTTAAGAACATTTATTGATTAAAAAGTATGGCTGACTTTGGTTGGGAGGTGAATTCTTGTTTGTAAATTATGAAGATTATGTTATATGTTTGCATTTAGAAATATTTTTAACGTATTAGGAAGGGATGAGTAAGATATTTATAATTTTGACACTTAGTATTTGAAGTTGTGAAAGACAATTATCGAATTTGACCACGGATTGATATCAGTTAGAGAACTATTGAAAATCAAGTAGTACAGGACAGCTGTTTCATTCTAGTTTGGGAATCATCCACGGGGTTTCAAATCCAGGACCAAACTAGGATGAAACAGCTGTCCAGTACTCCCTGGCTTTCAGTGGTTCTCTGACTGATATCAATCCATGGTCAAATTCGAAAAACAAATCAAATCCTTAAAAATCAACCCTTGAAAAGACAATTATGATAAATTGTGATGCCTTTTGTATATACTTTTGTTTTCGGCGTGTACATATACACTTACTACGCAGTTGTTGTTATTATTCCAACTGTCCTCTATTACATTTTGATTTCTGAATTGTTTCATTTTTATTTGTTAACTGAAATAACCGGAAGGCTTTAGTACGGTTGTTGATAGGATTCCGAAGAATAAACTGTGTTCCAAACAACCTCCATGGATGTTAGATTTGTTTCACATTCTAATTAGATGAATTCGTTTCTATGTGAACAAACAGTGCATTCCTAGAAATACATATTAATAATAAATCCAGCTATTTAATTACTAGTTATTATACTGTAAGATGTTAACCCATTGTAATTAGGTTCTGATGAACATGTTTTAACCTTCACACAATACGTATCCGATAGGCAGTTTTGATAAACTAAGTTTTTTATGTAGTGTTTGTAACGAAATAATTCGGTCGTATAATGATAAAAAATTTTATTTTTCCTATTTTACAAAATAAAAATATGCAGGATTTATAGACTTCATGGTTAGTAATCATCCAGTTGCTAAACAGCTACGTGAACATTTGGTATTTAAAATTGTTCCTATGTTAAACCCAGATGGTGTTTATTTGGGCAACTATAGGCAAGTTTTTTGTATTTCAGTGTACATATTTTTAAAAATCACACAGTTGTTTCTAGAATTAAGGTTTTTTAAAAAAGGATAACATCCTACAAGAAAGTGAAACTTTTTCGATAGAGAAAGAAAGACCAGATTTGCAGTAATTTCAGGTAGTTTGCAGCTAATGAGAACCTGTGAAAAAAAACTAACTGGTCACCAGGGTTATCTAACCCTAAGTACGTTAATGTTGCAACTTGATAAAAAATTCATGAGTTTTATTTCTTGTAACATGAGCTAACGCACTGCTTACCTTATACTAACTTTAATACTCACCAACCCGTGACTGAGTTGCGACTTTGGTCACATCACTAAAAAGACAGAGATAACAGCTCGTCACACGCAAATGAATTCTGTATCATTCTTAAAAAGCCCAGATGTATCTGCATAGTGCCGCATTTAGATGCTTCACTTATCTTATGTCTATTGACAGCAAGCAACTGGTGTTTAGTAATAACCTAACAGGCATAAATCAAGCTTTTGAAGCTAGCGATTGCTTCAAACAATGATATATTAATACAGTAACCCATTTTAATGTCCTGATTTCATTTTATTCATTCTTTCTTCGAATCTAATTTGTTTAACATGAGAAGTAGCAAACTAATATTAATAGAGAATTCATAAATGCAGTACAGTTTCTGTCATTATTTCTAAAAGCTGTTCAATAGTATTTCAAGGTAATTATTATTGTTACTTAGATACATGTCAAAAAACGCACAACCACGTTCATATTTTCAGCTACAGCATATTTCCACTGTCTTCTGATAACGTGTAAGCTTTTATTACTGCTTCAGTTTCCTTGAAGTCTATGGGTCATCATTGGGAGGGTAGAAAAAGACCCCTACTGTGCATTAAAAAGGTGTATTTACTTAACAGTCTTAGCTACCAGTAGTGTTTGCATGCAATTTAGAAGGATAATGATTTCACCAGGGAAAAATTTCAAACCAAACTCTTTATTATGGTATCTGTCGAATATTTGAAACCAAGTTCCAAGGTATAGTGTTCAGTATAATTTAGGAAAGTTTCGTATGCAAATGTATTTCAGTGCAATGCATCTAATTACTCCAAAAATATGAAAGAAAGACAAACTGCACTCACACTTAACTTTAAACCAATCAGTTATGCTTCGTGATATTTGTGAACTAATTTCTAGAGTGTTTATCATAGAGTAATTTGATACAAAGGAGTACACTGTTACTGTAACAGTCAAAAGACTTAAACTGAGGTGTTGGGCACCTTGATCATTTACAAGTCCCATGGAATCATTTTGGTGTGTCATAAAGTGAAGATGTAAACTTGTACTTACTTCTAAGGCGTTGCTTATTGTACACATAAAGCGAATATTCTTCCATGCAACCTAAAAATGAAATGGAATTTAATTCCTTTCTGAACAATAATGAATACGCATTTTTTGTGTAGTTTAAATAAAATACATAGAGTGCTTCACCATAACACATCCATGAATACCAAACGTATTCTGAAAACGCTACGTGTATGCCAGTAGATATAAAATTCTAGTTAAACGTATTAATCTCTCTTCAATTAAGTCGTGGATATTAATGAAATCTTTATACAAGCCGCTGTGTTCAGACCCAAATAAATGACCCATAAATAACCTGAGATTTCAATATAACACTGTTGAGATTTATTATCAAGTCGGTTCAATAAATATAAATATAGCTAAAGTAAAAATGAAGAATTCCTGGTTCTATAGGGAGAACTAGATGTACAGTCGCTAGAGAAGATCAATAAAAGCTAATGACATGGTTAAATGATTCTGTAAAGAATACAGTAGAGACGGGAGCCTGTCCGGTTACCAGATGAGTTGTGCAAACGACTCAAATCTACACATAATTGTGTCGTTTTCCCTTATTTACTGCATACACTTCATAAATAATTGGCAGCATCATACCTGTTAGTAAATCTTAAACCTGATTTCTGTGACTGTGCACTCTTCTCGTTTCTAGATCTTCTTTAATGGGTTTCGATCTGAATCGTCAATGGCAGTCTCCATCTTTATGGGCGCATCCTACCATTTATGCAACGAAACAACTGTTAATGAACTTGGATAACGATACAGTAGGTGTATATATTTTTTGAAAAACCATCCAAACACTTAGGTGACATATATATATATATATATATATATAATTATTCGCTCCTTAGTTCCCGAGTGGTACCAGCAACCCTTCTTTGTATTCTTTTTTTGTGTCGTCATTTTCATCTGGTTGCGCAACTGCCCCCTCCAATACAATCTCCTCCATTTCACTTTTGGACGTCCAATTCGTCGCCTCCTATTCGGGTTCCTCTTGAGGGCCTGGAGTGTGACGTCATTCAACGGCCTCGTCAAGATACACCCAATTCATCTCTACTTCTTTCTGCATATTTGTTGGACTACAAATTCTTGGTTTGTTTGTTGCCTGCCAGATTTCCTTGTTGCTTATCCTTTCTTATCTGCAGTAGAGCTTTGGAAATGCTTTTGGTGGAGTGCTTGCTACATCTGTTAAGCATATAGAAGCTCTGACTAACTTGACATCAGTTCTTGTGCTGAGTACTCTTAAACTTCTTGCTGATTTCCAAGTAATGAACGACCGTCTTGCCTTCCACATCCTGTCTTGGTGGGCTTTCAGATCCCAACCTGTACAGCCTGCAGTTGAAGCGATGCTACCTGTCCACCTGAGTGAAGGTGATGACTTACTCTAGATTTATTCCGTCGATGGTTATTAATGCTTTTTATTGTTATTTGGGTATCTTCATTACTTCTGTCTCCCATGTAATCATTTGACTTGCTGTCTTCACTGTCTCTTTTGCCAGCTTGTTGGTTTTCGTATATGCAGTCTGATCCACTCATGAATGTTTTTTCTCAATTCAACCTGTTCCGGGTGTAGTTTTTAATAGAGTGCATCTTCTTAGTTTCTGCAAAATGATGGTACCACACCAGTTCTAACCTAGTCTCAAGTCACTCTTCTTTGATAGTTTGACAAGGTAGCCTTTCTTCCCTTCCACAACCTCCGCAGTAATGATGTGAGCATATCCTCTGAGGTCTATGGGTCCATTGTTAGTGGTTTTGTGGAAATTCCATCTAGTTCCACTGCTTCTTCGCCTCTCAGTAGCTCTATAACCTTCAAGAAATAAGTTTTCTTTGGACAGTTGGTGTTCACTGGTAGTTTTATATCTTCCACTGGTGTTATTTATGAACTAGTTGTAGGTGGTGGTCAATTCAAGAGCCCTTTGAAGTTATAAACATGATGTTTATTTTGCTTCTTCTCTTTGATAATTGGGTTTCCTCAACTATATCTCACTAGCTTCATCTGCGTTAATCTCTTCGTGGACCTAATTATTTGGTGTGCTCGTGGTTGTCGTATGAGTCACCGGAGTAGGTTACTGACTCCTCATTTAATAATATGGAGAGTTCGCTTCCATCGCATATGCTCTCATTGATCCCTAATGCTTCCATACCTTATTTACTCATATCTTATACAATCTAGGTCGCCTCAGACATGATACGGACATTCCGTGTGCTTATGCTTAGTTTTGCTGTCGTCAGAAGTAGACTTGTCGGCAGATAGACATCCTGAAGGCTTTCAATAGCAGGCGTCTTCTCAACTCCTCATTGCTACAGGAACTTCAAAACACAGGAAAATATGTACTTAAGAAGGACACTATGAATTATCCATGCTGGTTTTCATGATTCTGTTGTGAAATAAGCTCACCATTAAGAAATAAGGGATCAGTCTATCTCACGTGATGTTAATCAGCCGTCAAATTCAGATCCAATCGTATAATCCAGCTCCATAGTTCAACAAATAGGTTCCAAAAAAATTATGGCAAATATTATCGTGGGTTGTGTAGCTAAAGTTAAACTCCACAAAATTTTAGTTAATGTCACCAGAAAACTGGATACCAGAATTCTAGTGAATTTCCAGTGTTTGATCTTTATTTGGTGCTGGCTAACCGTAGGTGTTCAGGATCAGATCGACCCAAAAGTATCACTAAGTCATGGTTCTCGAGAATCTAGAACGCATAGCTGATGGGATTTTGATGTCTCAGAACTACTGAATATAGTATGTTTGCATCAATGCCTAGTGGTTATTTAAATCTCCAAGTTCTTATGACTATAAGAAATTATTATACTTACACTGCATCTTTTCAGTTCCATAGCATAATCATGATGAGCAATGCCATTATATTTCCTGCTTTGTAATCGCTTTTTCACAATTCTCTTTCCTTTGCTTATGTGAAATATAAGCCTACAATCCATTTTTTGGTTATGTTAATCTTTCTGTCGTGTTAAATTCATTAGTCATAGTAGTGACTGATTTTTTAAACTAGGAATTCGTTACTTGATTAAACAATGGACACTAACATATTCTATATGAATAATTTTTTTCATTATTTTTCCACTTAGTCTGCAGATGTCAATTTCTTCATAGATATACATGCACATTCTACACTTATGAATGGGTTTATGTATGGAAATATATACGAAGATGAAAAGCGAGCTGAAAGGCAGGCTACATTTCCCAGTTTGCTAAGTCAATTCGCTGAAGATTTTAGCCTACCACAGACCAATTTTAATAAAGATAGTTTGAAAGCTGGAACAGGTCGACGGTAACTATAATATTTTTGCTATTACTCAGCCTTTTTTCATGTTACTAGAAATTAATGATTCAGGATGACTGAAGTTTTTATAGGCAAAGATTGTGATAGGTTTTGAACCTCTTTTCGGCTATTTCAAGATTCACAAAAAGCTTCTGTCTTGGGAAGACTGAAGTGTCATGTCTCTGAATTTTTGGTTTGATGTTCATGTCAATGAATCTCGGTAGGTATCCATTTTGGGTGAAAATCTCTCTGGAAAGGTGTAGAAGACTATATGAAAAAAATTACGAGCATACTCTTAAAAACCAATGAATTTTCACAACCACCTAACGAAATAAAAAAGCAGAGCAGACTAAAATATAGCCAACGGTTGTTTTGAAAAGAATTAAAGCCAATCAGTTAACTGACCACGTATTTATGAACGCATTTGATCAACGGGCTCATGTGTTTCAAGGCTTCACCATTTGTCAGAAATACGCAAAACTGATCTCCCAATTCGTCCAATTTAGAACATGTCCGAATCCTCCTGCTATTCAGTTGCAAAATGGTTGGGTGACACCCTATAAACTATAAGAAAACAAATGTATATCAAGTCGCTTCGCGACATTTTCAACCCGTCGGTCGCATACAGAATATGAACGTCTCTAACGAAAGTATGTTGTCTCTCGAAATCGAATAACTCTTGATCAATATTCCGATGACAGAAACTGTCTGTTTTATATACCGGCAATTAGATGACAATCAGCTGAACATGGGGGTACCAACTACACATCTAAAGGAAATGCTACTGAGGTGTACCTTTAAAGTACATTTCTCATTCAATGAAATTATTTGAAGACCTAGGCATCGAATTGCAATAAAATTTTCCTCTTATCCATTACTAGCAGACTGTTTTATGGTAAGCCTGGATAATGAGTGATTAAAGTCAACAGTTGATAATTTTTAACTTTACACCATATGAATGAACGACATTTTTACTATCCCCTTTACCAGTTGTTACAAATAACTGTTACCCAGCAATAAAATTCTCATTAGAAATAGAAAACGAGTACAAAATTTCTTTTCTTGGTAAGGAACTGACGAAAAGGGCGGACGGAACCTTTAAATGGTCTGCCAATAGGAAACCTACGTGAAGCGGTCAACTGAAGAGTTTCTACGGCTGTGTGTTGATTGAAGAAAAACGAAATTTATACCTCTTGGGACTCTTATCCTACACTAGAAGAAGAATTAAGCCTTCTCCGAGAAATCACCTAAAATAGATATCCACCAAGATTTATTGACAAGAACACCAAACCGAAATCTAGGTACATGACACTTCATTCGTGCTGAAAAAGAGCTTCACGTGAATTTTGGTTTCAAAAGCAACCCTAACCTGTAATTTCCTTAATGGAAGAATCTTAACAATAAAGAGAAAAACATTTAGTGACTACTTTTCAATATCATTAAAACTGCTACTATTGTTAGTGGCAATAATAATGCTGATATTATTATCACTTTTTGAACACTCTGTTCGTACAGTATGAGCAGCAACAGACACGTCACATAAAAAACAATGAAACACAATATACGGTAAAGGCAAATAATTGAGGGACATGTTTATATGAAACAGGCAATGCACACTAATCAGTAGCATTTAAGGGGCATTCATTATTTCAGAAACAGTGGATAGGAGTAAAACTGCAGCTGGTTGCTTGGTGAGCTGTAATAGCTCCGTACTATCACCAGACGCTACTGGTCCCATCTCACACGCAAACTCTGACCAACATGTTTCGCGGTCCTTGCATAGCTTCACTCGCTATTTTCATGGAGTCTTGTCAGTGTAACCAATTCTGGTCCATACTATCCTGTAGACTAGCTCGGTTCGATACTTGGTAGTGGAAGCAGGTTCTATCAGTCTACTTATGTCAATCCCTTGAAGACGACGTTTAAGATCCCCACCAAGTTTCAGGATCAGAAACCAGAAAAGTAATCCAGAGAAAACCAACAGTTCTGCATCGGTGTCTGATCGCAATTTAGTGTTTTGAGTTCACACTTAAGTGGGCAAGGGAGAACACCAGGTAGCATCTAGGCAGTGGCTATACTAGAAGTTGGTGCTGTCTAAAAACAGGTTATGACTTGAGCAAAATTACAGAATACGGTCCCTATAATCTGATCTGTGACCATTTAGTCTCCGTTGACCACCTAAACAGTTGTCCTGTGATCTTATTTGCATCAGTGCGCGAGCGTTATTGGTGGCAAGCTTGATTGCGACAAGAAGTTTCAGAATAGCCTTGTTAAGTATCGCAGAAAATTCAGCTTTCTGAATCGTGACTGATTAGCAGCCTGAAACTGTATAGATAGACTCAGATTTTAAGCAATAATAAAGGTAAAGATACTAAAACATGTTAAGTCTAATTGGTAGTTCTTTGAAGATTAAATTCATTATTACTAACAGCTCATATTGCAAGATTGAAGGAGAGAAGTTAAAACCTAGAAGGAATGAGTCTATTTGCAAGTATATCTGAGTTAAAGGAGAAATAAATGTGTTTTTTGAGTTACTGATCATCTTCATTGTACTACTCTTGTTTAGACATAATGCCGTTCTGTAGTACTCGAAGTCTTACCAGGTATAAAAGGTACATCATAAGTTATATCAGTTTTAGACTAGTTATGTCTTCAGCGATTCAACACATTGTTAAGATACCATTGTTTCTTTCTTGTTGTGACTGAAAAACAGTCATTACAAACAGTGTTGGTCAAATGGAACTATCTCTGTATGTTCACTAATCGGTAAGTTATTAATTCGCTTAATTATTTTCAAGTAATTAAGTCTTTCATAACGCTTAATAAATGTTTATTAAGGATTATAAACATTTATAAAAAGTGTTTTACTGTATCTATAAAGCCTGTCTGAATTTGTGGTTTCAGCTTAGTGCTGTAAGTTGCCCCTTTTGCCCCTTTCAGGCTTGCTTCAATAATGAATATTCAGACAGATGAGCAATAGTATTAGTTCTCTCACAACAAGTGTGATTAATAGCCTAATTTAAGGAGCAGCACGGAAATTACTTTAATGCCACTCGACACCATATATCACGGACAGCATGCTGTTACCCTTATCACGAATAATAATGTACTGATGATTCATTTCTTTGTTTTTTAGCACGTTGGGTGGTATTTTGGATGATCACACCCTTTGTTACACGTTGGAAGTATCATTCTACAGTTATACAAATATGTTAACTGGTGAAATGATCCCATATACTGAAGAAAAATGTATCCTTTTCCTGTACAGGTCGTTAATTATTGCTGAATGGACATTTGTTTTGTTTTTTCTCTTCTTTGAATGACGCTTAACACATGTAAGTCACGAAGTTATTTAATTCTCCTATCGAAATCTACAACATGTCCTCAGGCATCTTGAGACTCTTGACAAAGTAGTCATTGTGATTGAAATCAATTTCTAACCTTATGCAAAATAAGTTCACTTATCCATGGAGACTTTCACTGTGGTAGACGTCTTCGTCGATGCAATTAGTTTTAATTTATTGTTTCAGATCTCTAACAAACAATTTAAAAAAATATCTTAGCAGGTGATTTCACTCTAGTGGATTTACGAGTTTATAACAAGCTGATATCCATCAGATTATGTTTGACAAAATGCAAAGGTTTTTCATGAACATAACTAAATTTCTATTACATTACATGTCGATTTTATTTGAAACTGTTATCTCTTATGCCTGATCGCTGCTGGTTAAGCAGAACTTTTTCCTTAACGAGAAACTATTCACTTAAGATGCTCGATTGGGCAGAAATCTAGCCAGAACATTTTATGAATATTACCTCAATGAAGGTCTTCTACGAAAGGTGCAACATAAGACTGAACAAGTTTGCTCATCCGAAAGTGTTGCGACTGCACTAAGTACTAATTATGATTCTACTAGCCCCAGGGAACCAACTGCACATTCAGAAGACAGTTACAGTCAACAATATCAAAACAACAATCAAAACGACAATACAACCAGCAAAGAACATACTACTCAACGTACATCACATAAAAGTAGTTTAAAAGATAGACTAAAATATGATTATGACCAGTTGAAACGTTTAAATCAAACATTAAATTCACTCAGTTGCCGTACGATATCAAATTCTTTCTTGAAGAACACACGTCCAGTAAGAGGGAAGTGGGATGAAAATAGTTAAGGAAGTTAGGTAAGTTTCTGCGTTGACGTTTTGTTTCCTAATGTGTAATCTCGTTGTTAAAAGTTCTCTTGACATTAAAGGGTAAAGAGTGAACAGTCTCAAGTTAGATTACAAACCATTAAAAAACCAGGTAGTAGTGAACATGCCCTTCTCCTTAGCTTGGTATTCCTCAGCAGTATGCGCCAATGACTCCACTGGAGTTTGAACCCCGGACGTTCAGTGGAGTCATGGGCAGGTACTTCTGAGGAGTCCTAAACAAAGACGAAGAAACTGTTCATTACTTCCTGGTTTTCACTGGTTCTCTAACTTAAAACAAGCAACAAGAGTTAATAAAGCAGTACTTAATGAATTCATCAAATTTCTCCAGCTGAATATTCCACATACTCTGATATATATATATATATATACCATTAGAAATACATTGGGCGATACATGACCGATAAGTAAATACACTACATTGAATCGGGCATGCAAAACGAGAGGTACGAATGTTTTATTAGTGAATAATGTAAGTGTAGAACTTGGGCACTGTAATGGAATGTAATTTCATACTGGATAAGTGCCATATCAAATTGATATGATTACGGACAATAATTTATGTTCGAAACGTCATACAGTTGTTAATACTGCATCATTGTGTGATATTTAAAATAAACTTATCCAATACTGAATTTTATTAATCAAGTTGAGATGGATAACTGGTCAGCTGGTTCGTAATCTAACTTGAAACCAGTTGAAATCCCGCAAAACAACACTTGAAGAGTAAAGGATTAACGTATTTATATCAGTTTATCGAGCATCATTCTGTTTTACAGCTAATAATGTTTTTATCTGCCCATGGTCAGTATATATTAGCATTTCCATAGCACCAAATAGTTATCCTCAGTAGGTGAAATACATTGTCACGGAAGTACGGTGTTCACTTTTCCCATAGTAATTCAAGTATTTCACATTTATTCAAAAAATAATTAGTCTTATATTATCAAGCTATGAGTCCAACTAAAACGCACCCTGTTGCGTAAATCAAAGTGTAGTTGCTTAAAAATATGCTTTTCTAGATCCCTAGTAGGTGGAAAAATCACCATCCTGTTTGTAAGATATCACAACTTGGCACACTTGGATATGATAAGTACTTCATGGTGGTTAATATAAAAGAATTTCATTGTTAACTGTGAAAAAGGAAGTCGGGGTAAAGAATAAAAACAATAAGTGAGTTGTCCGAACCCTTCCATTCCACAAAGGAGTGTTTAAAAATGAAGGAAACCTGAAAGTGTGGAGGTTATATGTAGAAGAGTATTTACAGGCCAATTGTGTTGTTCTTTATTATTAAAAATACTAAGTCATCAAAACAGTATACAAATCTTTGAAGGTTGTGCGCTCAGTTCTTTTCAGTGAAATAAAACGCTATGTAACATGTAATCCCGTAGATGTTATGTGTTACTTTATATTTACCTGCTGTTCATGAATCCCTTATCAGTGAATACCGTGGATGGAAATTTCCGAAACTTTTAGAATTAAAAACTATCCACCTAATTTTTCTCCAACTGTTTGCTTCTCCTGTGAACTATTTTAAGGATTCAGTTAATCAAACTGCTGAAACTAAGTAGTAGTATGTATTTGCTTTGACTTATCCTTGACGAAATAAAAATAACACTTCTTGAATAATACACAATACACTTTGGAAACGCAAACTACATTTTTTATTATTATCTCAGTTAAAATACCTCTTAAACTAGTTACAGCTTTTATTCTGCCATGACGATATTATTTCCTAGTTCCAAGTCAACACTAAAACTCATGCATTATTCTAAAGGCATGAAATCTTTTCAGAGTTTGATAGCATAAGGAAGCAAGGATATTTTTTCTATTTTGGTCGTCTGTTAAGAATTATTCTATCTTGTTAGCAATATCTCAAATTTTTCTGTTCATATTTGTTATCCTATTGTCTAATACCGTACAAAAAAACATATTGTGTATACCGTCTTAGCAGTTTTCATCTCTACTATAGTTAGTGAGTAACCAACTGTATTCAGTGCATTCGATGTGTTCTATGAGGAGGCATGCTGTGTAGCTACGATACGTCTTATTACAGTACGTTGCGATGGCCTTTTAACTCACAACTGGTAAGTCAGACACGTAAATCTAGTCGAAAGGCTGTGTTTTATTTTTGACCATATTACTTAGGCTAAGACGAGCAGTTCGATGCAAAAATGTGCGTATGTTAGCTGTACTCATTTTCTTCAAAAAACAACTTTTACTTCTCCAGAGAAATTTCCACTGCAGCGTTAAAAAGAGTGTCTCTACATTCCAAAGATCTGATATGATTTCCTGATTAGCAGGACTGAAATCTCAATAAAGTTGGCTTATATATACGATAAGAAAACAAGCATATCTAATAGCATAATTTACTGAAACACGGTTCTAGGATTAAGTAAACTGGATTACTGAGAAGCAAATTCAATGGTTTTTAAAAAATTCAATTTTGTGAACCAAATGTTTTCTGATAGTATTTCGATTTTCATTCTGATTTCATCAACGTAAATGTGGAATTTTGATTTTATTTATTTACTCTACAGGTTAAGTAATGCCCTGTACATATTTTGGGATTTTGGAACGTTAGAATGCAAAATGATCTGTCTATCAAGCAATATAGCAACCATCTACTCTATGTATCCCAGGTTGTTCGACTTTTATAACCGGATGTGCTGAGCATGGTTGTGAAATCCTGAGTCAATAAATCTTGTAATATAGAACACATATCTAAATATACATCGAATGTATATGTACTCGTGATGTAATTAATTTATATTGTCTTAAAGAAAATAAATGTTAAAATGTAACTTAAAATGACAACTTTTTTTACTTGTCTACTGAACTGTTAAGCAATAATTATAATCCAACTTGGATTCGTCGAGCAGCACCTACAAAGACTCGAAGATCTACAAACGAAAAAAGAACAAGTTGTTTGAAGAGGAACTTCAGATGAGTATAAAGGAGACAGAAGTGATGAAGATATCCAGTCATCGATAGTAAACACCAATCACTATCAGCAGGAGAAATCTGAAGGAGTTAGTCTTTTCCACTTGCCTGAGGAGTATCGTTTATACTACAGGCAAGTAGCGCAAGTGATAGAGACATTGCCAGTCATGATCGAATTCGAAAAGCAAAGCTGGTGTTCATTACCCTGAATGAAACACTACATAGTACTAGGCACAAGATCCGAACTTTCAACACTAATGGCATGTCAGTGCTTCCATGTGGTTCAGAGACTTTGCATTTCCAACAGGTAGATGCAAGCTTTTATCAGCAGTTACCTTCTCTGGCTCGATATTAGAGACCAGATGGCTGACCAAGAAGGGAAACGAACAAGAAAATCTGGCAGTCGGTGAACTACCATTGGCCGATTTCATAATAGAAGGGGATATATGGAGTATATGCTGAGGAGGCATTCAGGCTGCACCATACGCTAGGGCCTCATATAGAGTCCAAATGCAAAGCGACCAGTATGGCTCTCGAGGGTGACATGGAGATCGAAAGTTGGTTCATAAAAGTATATAACTCAAATAGAGTGCGCATTTCATTAATACTTTTAACTCTTATACTTCACAAGGTAGTTCATCATTGTGTTGTCAGATTTTCTTAATCTATTCAGCTTACTGCGGACATCAAGCGTTATAGGTAATTACACTCCTGACAATATTACTCATTCTAATTGGCTGATTTTCTGATGAATTTCGGGAGAACAACATACTCCAGGATGAGCAAAGTTGTCTGACAGTTTGTTTTTTTTAAACGTACTTGTTTAATTTCCTGTAGGTGTGAAATGTCTATCTAAGTAAATTGTTTTAGAATCGCAGAGACCATGTCAGCCATTATAAGTAGGAATATGACTTGCATTGTAATTCCCACTGATTTAAGATATGACACTGAGAAGATAGGGTGAAAAAAGCAAAACATTTCTATTTTACAAATAAATAAAACCTGATATATTCACATCACTGATTTCCGTAGAGAATATAGCTTTCTGATAGCAATGAGTTTCTGGAGCAGTAACTTTTTCGAAAACTTATTCCGTCAGTTCACAGAAATGTGTTGTTTGGAATCCTTTTAATTCTTTTTTAAGTTAAACGTTGGATATGAGCACCTCTTCTACAATGCACTCAACATACAGTTCAGCAATCTTCAAAGCAAGCCCTCGTAAGCGCAGTTAAATAAAGTTTGAATCAGTATAAGAATGACCAGACTACTCATGATGTGATTTTGGGGATTCATCATCTATTGGTTCAAACCACGTTGATAAATGGGAACTTGAGTTAAATACTTCAAACAAGTCACTCTAAAAAAACTGTTAGAAATCCTACGCAGTACTGAACATGCATTAGTTCTTTATATTTTTAAAAACAGTCAACATCATACAACCCTTCATTTGGTTCATGGATTTCTTATGGTCAATACTTCTCTACTGTATCATTTTCATGTTACTGAACTTAAGCCTTGTTCAAGTCCATAAGTATGAGTGATTTCACCTAAAGCAACTTTGTTTACTTTCAGCCTCAAAATGCGTTCCTGCCTGTTGCTGAAACATCTTTCAGTAGCCATCAGAAATATGTTGGTCGTTGCTCATTTCACTTCATAAGAAAGGAAACAAATTTTCCTGTAGTGAACATAGGGAATTAGCCTGATTAGTACCATATGAAAGATTCTAAAGCCCATACCTACCTATAGAGAGGCTAAGTATAACTCGAGAAAGCTAGACAGAATCCAGGCTGAGTAAAGAGTGCATTGATAAAATCTCCACCCTTTGACAGATTCTGGAACAAAGACTTAGTTAGCAGAGTCTGGGACTTAATGTACCTCGTGAAATGAGTACAAAATCCCAGAGTGTCAACTATGAGTGCTAGGAAGGTAATCTATGTCGATGGGGGTAAAATGCTGAAACTCATGAAGCCATCTGAAATTTTATGGAGAGTTTTTGTCTAGAATGACAGTCATAAATGTTC